GGATTTCGGCGACCCTGCCTAATCCCTAGACCTCCTCTTAGGGTCCAGGGTTTAGGGTTTGGGGTTTAGGGTTCAGGGCTTGGGGTTTCGGGTTCAGGGTTTGGGTTAGGGGTTTCGGGTTTAGGGAACTTCAAAGGAACTTCAAAGCATCTGGGGTGGCGCACTTGAGATCCGTGCATTCCCAGCACTCGCGAACCTAGCCCTGAAAGTTGAAGGCGGTGTCCTCTTCGGTCAGGAGATGGCAGGAGTACGGTTGATGACATAAATCCGGCACTGCCCATAAGAAGGGACATATACCATAACTCCCATAGTGTATGGTCCTTAAGGTAATGCAGGATTTATATCATCAACCGTAGCAAGTCATCCGCGTGCACCGGCAAATGGCCATTGCACTCACCACTCCGGATGCGGTAACTTCATCGACCAGGCATTCGCTTCGCTCACCAGCTGTTCAAGGTGTAGGGTCCTCTTTGCATTGTAGGCCCACATTTGTACATACATAGCCTTGAACCTTCAACTCGACCGAACCTCCATGCAAATCCTACTTGGAGGATCATGGGACTTAGTAAATAGGGTTATAAGTACCCTTATTGGGGCTATAAGTAATTATAAGTATAGTTACCCTAATTATAACCCTAGTTACTAAGTCCCATGTCCTTTTAAGTAGACCACGCAATCTCTGCGCATGACAGTCACTCGACTCTCGCACCCGAAAGACTACCTTAACCCCGCATGGCCTACCTTTTTGAGGACTTACATAAGGAATTCATAAGAAGGATCTCTCAAAAGGTAACCGTAACCCAAAACCTGAAGCCCACACCCTAAACCCCCTAAATTCCCTAAACCCTACACCGTCGTATAGAACCTCAAACCCTAACGACTAAGCCCCTGCGCCCTAAACCGCACTTTCGCTGCCTAGGCCTCGAGCGTCCCGACACCTATCCGGCACAGACTCCCGAAATCATGTGCACATGCCTTTTCGGAGGGTCTCCTCATTATGAGCATATTATAATATACCCCAAAACCCTTTTCCTATTCTTCGGGCCCGCATATTATAGTTTCCCCTATTCTTAGGGAACCCATATTATAGTTAGTTTCGGGGGCGTGAACTGTAGGGATAGTATGGTTTGGGTTTATAGGGTTACAAATAGCTTCGGGAGTTGTGAACCGGGACTGTATGCTGTGGGTTTAGGTTGATATTTCGGGATTTGATGGCTGTACTACAGGCATGATATGGGGCTTTGCAGAGTCGCAAAGGCTTTATGTTTGTGGAAACGGGCGGCAGGAGTGAACGCTCTCGGAAGAAGGGGGTTCGGGGCGTACTCCTGCGGCTTTACGGTGCTAGTATTCAGGGCTCGGGGCTTAAGGCTCAGGGGCCCAGGGGTTAGATAAGGTTCAGGGCATTCTTGGACATTTGTAAGCAGGGCTGTACAAAAACTAGGGTCCCGTAGTATCGGTTGAGGTAGTGACTGAAAAACCCTCAGGTCATAGGCTTCGAGCTCATGGTTTGCGGATCAGTATTCCGACTGTGCCTTTCAGAAGATGATATACTTCTGCTACGTTTGCGGGGTTACTTGTCTGTTGGAGGCCGGTATAGCGTTGGCATTGAGCTTCAATCAAAGTTTGATTAAGTCGTCTCTGGGCAACATGCCGAAATTTAACCGTGGCTGTATCAATCCGACATGGCGTTTGTTGCATGGGCGAGGTGGTCTGCATTGCAGGTCACATGTGTCGTTTCTGCAGGGATTCCTGCACCATGCATCACTCAAACCTGCTAATCACTTCTCCTGCCCCACGACGCAACAAATGCCCCTCAACCCTCAGCCCTACAAACCCAAACCGCAAAACTCTACAATCCCATAAACCGTGAGCCGAACGTCACTACCCTCAACCGGCAACCGCGCCCTGCGCCACAAAGCCGACTCGCCAAGCCCAAGGACATTCCCCGCACTAGCCTTTAGAGCTTTAGGCTTCCCAAAGGGTCCATGTCCCCAAATAGTATGTACTTTGGCCTTAAAGGTACTCCCTATACGGGTACTTTGGGGCCAAAGTATATACTATTTGGGTACATGGGCCCTTCGCAGCTTCCTGTCAAACCTAAATCCTAACCTCAAAAGCTAATGTATATACTGTTTAGGTTGATGGACTCTTAGGGCTTCATGTCAAACCTAAATCCCTAAGGGTCCATGTGCTTAACGGTTCCTTTAAAGGGATCTATATGGGTTCTATAAGGGCTCTATACGGGGCCCCCAAAAGCCGAACCCCAGTAGCTGAGCTCTGAAGTCGGAAGCCTAAACTTGGTGGGACGTTACAGAGGGCCCTGGCTCAGAGTCCTGAGGCGGTTTAGGGTTTAGGGTTTTAGGGTTTAGGGTTTTGGGTTTAGGGTTAAGGGTTTAGGGTTTAGAATTTAGGGTTATGGATTTCGATCTACTTGTAAGGTTCAGTGGTAACTGTAGGGAGAACCATATCGAGGGTACTGTGCCCTAAGGGTTGGAGTAGTCCTTATAATTTATTGTTGTTACCCCAAAAGGACCCAGAGCCCTTGACATAGTGAGGAGTACGCGGACCCTAACTTGGAGGATCATGTGACATAGTAAGTAGGGTTATAAGTACTCTAATTGGGTTATAAGTCATTACAAGTATAGTTACCCAAATTATAACCCTAGTTACTAAGTCCCATGATCCTTTAAGTACTGGTCGGGGTGTGAGCCTTTGGCTTCTGGGGTTCGGTACCAACTTCGTGGGCCGTTCTCGGCATACACATGGGCGGTTATCAAAATTATGGTCCCTTGTTGGGTACCCTAAATATCAGGTGCCGTATTACAATAAGGACCCAAAAAGGGACCCTAATTTTGACAACCACCCACATCCCAGAAGCTCAAAACTGTACAAGCAAAGTACTTGACGGGGCATAGTCTCAGACCCCAAGCTCTTCAGCTGAGGGTTTAGGGGTTTTGGGGTTTGGGATGGATCGGAGTTGCTGAGCTTAGAAGCCCAGCAGCTTAAACCACACAGCCTTATGGGCCTGCCTTGCAAATGGCTCCTCTCTGTCATCCTGGCCACCCAGGGACCCCTCAATCAAGGAACATGCTTTGGGGATCTCTCTATAACCCGAGATCTATTGTTTCAAGAAGAGGTCCAGAATTGGAAAGCCGACACCTCACGGTTAACTAAGGCCTTCAGGCGAGACCGAGAGTTGACCAAGCATCCAAGTACTCCGTACTTTGGGCTTTGGCTTTTCGTTGAAGGTACCCCAGCCACGTACCAGCATTGCTTGCACCGCAGGTGTTTGGCTTGAGGACAGTATACGTGTTTTCGACAGGGTCCAGTTAATGTGCTAAAGTTTGGGAGAAATGTGCGGAGAAAGACTCGCAGAAACCCATCTTGGTGGCATCTGAAGCTGTCGTAACAAAACTCCGAAGCTCCCGACCGCAAATCCTGTGAAGTCACAGAACCTCCAAACCCTAGAACTACAACCTGACCAAACAAAAACTTTTAAACTACATAAAACTAAACCTCAAACCCCCGCTCTCAAATCTTATGAATTTCGATCCCCTGAGCCAAGCCCACCATCCCCAAACTAGAAGCTCGAAATCGCACAACATTCTTCTACAGTGTGGTCTGTGGGCCCACCCTATCATGGGCTTTATAATGGGTATATAATGGATATATTATGGGTATATACCTAGGGGTCCTTTTTAGGGGTCCCCCTAAACCCTAAACCCAAAGTCCTATGGTCTTAACCTTCCCTGAAACCATACTCTAGACGTTGCAACTAGCCTTATCTCAACACACGGTACTACACTCCCCAAACCCTGAACACCCACTGGGTTTAGGGTTTAGGGTTTAGGGTTTAGGGTTTAGGGTTTAGACTCTAGACTACTTTGCTTAAGTATACCATACAGACTACCTTTGATTCATCTTATTGCTATTGGAAAAGTACACTGGAACTCCTATTCCCAGCCGTGGAGCAAAGAGAACTCGTGCTTGTAAAGTAGCGTAGGGCAACTAAGGTGAGTCTTTATGAAGATATAGTACATAGTACCACCCTGCTCTACTGCCATAAACCTGCTCTACCCACAGGCTCCATAGTAGCTCCTTTTGGGGGTTCCCCCATAGGATCCTAGATGCCACTCACAAAAGGGAACTACAACGGAGCTTATGGGTACTACTGAGAACTCAGAGAGCCTCTGAGTTCTTGTTAAGGAATTTGACTTCAGCTACCATAACATACATCTATAGTAAACAACATGGTTTCTTTAATATTGTAACTTAACTTCAACCCCTTATATAGCAAGAACTAGGAGAGCCTCGCTCTTGGAGTGGTCGCTCCAAGATCCTCCAGTTGCTGCCTGCCGGCAAGTAGGGTTCAGGGTTCTTTTAAAGGGTTCCATAAGGGATCTATAAGTCTATAAGGGTATTATAATATAGGGGCCTTTTAGAATCGGGTTCCCTTTAAAAGGGTCCTTTCAGGGATCTGTAAGGTTACTATAATATAGGGGCCGTAATAATTAGAACAGGGTTTTGGGGCCCATTATATATACTACCATTATAATAAGGAACACTCAAAAACTGTATTGGCGGTAAGTATTTAGGCCCCTATATTAGGATTTTAATAATTTTGTGCAGCTTAAGACGTGCTATGACGTCTTTTAGAGGGGTTTGGGCATAGTTTTATGGAGCTTGTGTGATGTGGTTTGTGACAGGCATCGGACTTGCATTTGCGTAGAAAACCGTGATGCGAGCTTCCTTTAAAAGGGCGCTGAAGGATTTTACATGTTTTGTAATTCGAGGGTTATATGTTAATTGATGCTGGCTGGGTCTGGGTGTCCCTGTAAGATCTTGAGATCCGAGTTTGAGCATCATAAAGTTCAGAAACGATGGTATCTTGGTTGATTCCATTCCGCGCAACTTTGGTTTCGCTTCGATGGCTCCAATACTATTTTGGGGGTTCCTTATTATAGTATAATGGCACAGCGGTCCTCCGAGCGACATCGGGTTCAGATCCTTGGCCTGCGTCCACGGAGAATCCCATACCCCACCCTTCCTTAGTCCTTTGGGTCTGCATGCATGGATGCATGGATTCAGATCATGGATGGATGGCTGGATGGATGGATGGATGGTGTGAATAATATCCTACAGGTAGATGTGCCGAGTTCGTGATGAACAAGTGTAGTTTGTGAGCAATGTAGTTTCGTAGTAGTGTGGTATATACATGTATATAATGATCTTCGCATAAGTACGTGCTTATGGAATGATGCGATAGCATATTCTAAGCCTTGATGGCAAGCTTTGGATTCTTACAAAACCTGCAGGTTCTGGGAGAAGCCTGCTAGAGCGAACAAGGTTTCACCCTAAGGCTCCTGGACCTTCGTAGTCAGATCGCAAACCTTAGCCCCCGAAGCCTGAACTCCTCCCCAGAAAGCCCATGACCCCTTTCGGAGCCTTAGGGCAGGGTTTAGACTTAGGACATGCAAGGAACAGTCAAAAGAGTGTGCCTGCATCCCTAACTCCAGCCCTTCACCCGGGATAAAGGAGTTTCCGAAAATTCGGGGCACTTTATTTTGGGGTCCATAATAAGGATCCGACTATTTAGGGTACTATATCAGAGTCCTCTATTTTCGGAAACTCCCATAACTGTCTGGTTCTTAGTAGGGAATGGGAGAATGGATTCCTATAGTAGCCCCTATATAATCCCCAATAGTAGTCTCCATAACCCATTCTCCCATTCCCTACAAAGAACCAGACAGACATTCAGCACTCTGTTTGTCTCAACCATGATTTGGCACCATGGACCTTGCAACAATGATCAAACCGAGGTTTTGCTGCATAGGGATCCTTAGAATAAACGGCCCTGTGACAAGCAGGCTTTGGGGTGCATTCGGCATATCCTAATAGTCCGTCCTACTACGTAAAGTCCAAGCTTTTGAAGGTTCTCTGCTGAATTCCCGGAAGCCTTTTTGCAAATTTAAGGCCGGCCCAGAGCCTAGGGTAATAGAGGGGCCTTAATACGCAATTAGAACAGGGTTTTGGGGCCAACTAAACTATGTTCATAATAAGGAACCCCAGGCCACTATGTTACTCAGTCTTGTGAAACACCTCTTTGAACACTCACTGGATGTCATATGGGGTAGTCAAGATACGCGAGAGGAAAATTAACTACATTTAACTACATGAATGAACCTCAAGCCCTGACCCTGAACAAGAAACCTGCTGTTGTTGGAACCCATAGCCGCTTTGCAGCACCTAAGTGGGTACACGACCCTTCAGAGCTTTATGTTAGTTCATTACTTCCTCTGAGGGTCTAAAACCCTACACCGCCTAACCCTAACCCCCGAAACCACTAACTAAACCCTAAGCCTAAACCCTCAGCACCTAAACCTTAAGCCCCCAACCCAAAGCCAAAGCCCCCATAATCTTAAACCCGGGAAATCAGACGACGGTGAAATCCCCGCGGCCTGGGCATCGGCGAGTTCGGCCCTTTTGCCGTAACACGCCTTCGGCTGCAGATGGTGAGAGCCCCAATATGAACCCTAAGGCTCGAAGGACTCATATTTACAGCTTTTAGTAAGGCCCACAAGGACTCGTAGTTGAAGGCTGTTTAGCCCCAGGACCACACACACTTTTTTGTGATATTTTGAGCCTGAAAGTGCTATGACCAGAACCCTAAGGCTCTAAGGACTCATATTTGATGATGTTTTAGTAGGGCCCAAAGACCACACAGCGGATGGGATTCCATCAATGGCAGGAGGTGGCACCCTGGGCTGGCAGAAGCGGTCAAGGAAACATAGCTCGAAAACCATCCCAGACCATCCAACATCCTTTAATTAAGGAATGTACCTTAAATGCACCTTAAATTATAGTGGCATCCCAAATATGATTCAAGCTATATTCCTCAATTAAAGGATGCTGGAAGGTTTGGGACCACAATACGTAATATTGTTATCTATTGTTGTCGTTACATGTCATGCCGATAGCAATGATTGTAGTATCCTTAAGGGAGGGTGGTCCAAGGGGGGTATATAGCCTAGTGATCCCTAATCCTCCCTAGTACTCCCTAAGGTTCCCTTACAGTCCCCTAAGGATTCCTTATACCCTCCCCCCTTGAACCACCCTCCCTTAAGGATCCTATAAAATGAGGGCAAGCAACCCAAAACCCTTGAAGCCCTCCATTACTGACATTCCCATATTTCTGAATTAGCAACCTGAAGCAACCCCACCTAAATGCAGAAGGGAGTTAGCCCACTAATTACCTCAAATTAACGTCCTTAATCCACTATTTGCTTAAGAACCCTCAAAAAAATAAAAAAAATATTCCTTATAGGGATAATATAGGGATTATATTTTTTTATTTTTTGGGTGGTTCTTAAGCAAATAGTGGTAATTACTATGCATCTCGAGAGAAATCCGAGCCAGAACCGGGCAGGGGGCGCGGCAGTGGGACAAAGTGGGGCCGAGTGGGGCTGAGTGGGGCTGAATAGGGCTGAGTGGGTTTAGGGTTTAGGGTGTAGGGTTTAGGGTTTAGGGTGGTGCTGGAGAGGGGTTGGGCATACATTGGGGTAAGACTCTCGAGAGCAAAGCCGCATAAAGCCCGAAGCCCGCACACCACACCCCCGAGCAGTCACTGCAGCCTATGTCGCGCACCGCGCTGGAGGAAGAGCTCTCGTGCATCCTTGAGATGCTTCATTCAAGGCTTTGCTATCTGAGGTCTCGGACTTTGGGTGAAAATTGCACATTGTAAATACGACATGTTCACTGCGCATCGGGCGGGGCTGATTTAGGACTTGGACATTTTAGGGGGTGACCCTCTGTAAAGTCCAGCGGATTTGACCCGATGTTTGCTTGTATCCTGGATGTCCATAGGACAGCTTCACGACGAGCTCTGCGCTGCCCATCAAGGAGCCAGAACTCGGATAGAAGAAGTATGGGGCTTCTATAGTAGGAATTATGCTATTGTCGAGCCTATAGGACCCTTGGGGCCAGATGACTGGTCCGATGGGGGCAAATACGCTTAAACTGCATCGCTGCAAGACGTCGCGTCGCCACGGCGCATACCATTCCGCAATGGTCACGCCTGAGCCTCCCAGCCCCGTGCCATTGGTTGTAGCTGCATCAAACACTGGACCTCGGGGTTTTGGGGCCCATTAGACTATCCCAATAATTAATAAGGAACCCCCACAATAGAGTAGGGAATGACTTAGGCCCCATAGTATCTGGGTTCCGGAGGCATCGCAGACACGGTGGCCTCGATACACGATACGACCCGTGTACTTGTGGTGTGCACCTAGAGACTCCATAGTAGTTCCTTTTTGTGGTTCATACTTAGAATCCTATAAGGTACTCCCAAAAAGGAACTACTATGGAGCCGATGGGCAGGGGGACACTTCCACATAAGTCCACTCCACAGGCTGTCATCAGCTCAGAAATTCTCGTTTGTCCCGGGATTCTTTCAGGAGCTGGGAAAGAAGTCGAACCAACGACTAACGGTTGATCCCTAACCACATACACCAAACCCTACCCCACAAAACCCCAAACTCTATGTATGCCCTGAATTCTCTTGCTGTCCCTAAACCCGAACCCCAAGCCAGCCCTAAACCCTAAACCAACACCCTATAAACCCTAAACCCCTACAAACTCTTCTGGAAGCCCTCTTTTAGAAATCCGCAAGGTCGAGGACCTGCAGGAAGCCTTCCAGGAAGTCCACATGGTCCTTCGGCGTTCGGACGCCGCGCAATTACGGGCTAGGTTTTAGCGGTTTGGGACAGTTCTGAGGGTTTCCTACGCTTTAGTGTAACATACCCCGAAACCCTACAAGTATGAAGCCGCTCTTTAATACTCTATGTCAGGGCACGGTCTGAGAATGTAAAGGAAAATTGTGTCTGTTACAGTAAGGGCACAACCAGGAAAGGGACCCAATCCACGCAGATAGGTGTCGTATGGCTTTAAAGGATCTGTCACAGTGATTTGCATTCGGGCTTACAAACGACCCAACGTCATAACGTCCGTAAATACCCTATATGACCTCGGGGTGCCCTCTCAGAGTCCTGCAGCTCTACTAACATAGTCAAGCCCACACTCTATAGAATCCTATATATGAACAGGCATCTAAGGTTCATGCACACTCCCTACACTCAGCAATGTAAACCTGAACTTCTAAGCCCTGAACCCCAAAGACTGCACGCGATCTCTTACCGTACACACAATGCCAAGAGCCACAGAAATGGCCCGGCTGGTCGCTATGCCCACCACCGCCAACAGCGCCGAGTGCTGCTGGGATGTCAAGACCACTCGATCATCGAAGTCTGCATCGATGCACTTCAGAGCGCAGAACAACGTTGTTCACTTCGTCTTCTTCGCCTCTTTCGCCACCATTGTCTTCTTCTCCTTGTAGAAACATCTAAAACCCTAAGGGTCCATGTACTCATATAGTACATACATTGGCCTTAAAGTACTCCCTATATAGGTACATTGGGCCCAAAGTATATGCTATATGGGCACATGGACCCTTAGGGAAGTGAGTACCGTCGCAATGTGTCCGATGAAAGTGCGTCAGAGTCCCAGACCTGTCCTGCAATGGACGTGCAAAATATGCTCTGCCATTGATTGTTGCCGATTGTAGGATAACCGGTGGGACCTCTTTTTCTGGTACTCGCCAGAACCTGCGGAAGGATTCCGAAGCACGCCGCTGCCGAAGGAATCCATCAAGCCCAAAAGCCCAATACCACTAATCCTAACCACAGTAGTGACCTACCCAAAAGCCCCTGAGCCCCACTCGTCCGAATCACTGAACCCACAACTCAACGTGATCCCAAAGGCGTCAAGTTCCAATACTGTAGATTCTACGTAGTTGGGCACCGAAAGAAGATACTGTATACGATCTACTGTTCATTGAACACTTTGAGGGTTCGTAAAGAAAACCATAAACCCGAAATCCTGAACCCTTAGCCCCAACTCCAAGTGATCTTAGCAAGAAGAACCCTGAACAAACTGCCCTCAACCCTGCAACCCTAAACCCCTCACTCCCTCGAAATTAATGATCTCAGCAAGAAGAAATCAGACCTTCCAATATCCCTCTAATTACGGAATTCAGCTTATCGTAAATTAGAAGTATATAATAGGATCTCTATAATGATTTAAGGCATAGCCCCTAAAACCCAAATGAAACCTTAGACCCTCAATTACAAGTGTATATATCTAGTAGGATCTCTAAAAGGATTTAAGATACATTCCCTAAAACCTAAACGAGACCTTAAACACTAAACCCTAAACCCAAGGTCTGGCAAGTCGTCTCTTCGCCGCCTCCAAGTTCGTCCCTTGCGCCTCCCTCGCCTCGCGGAGAGCAGCGTAGGTTTAGGGATTTTAGGTTTAGGGTTTAGAAGGGGTAATATGGAGGCCTTCATAATTGGAACAGGGTTTTGGGGCCGGTTATACTATATTTATAACAAGGAACCGCCCAAAAAGTATGAGTAATTCTTCAGCCCTCTTTGTTGGGGATCTCAGGGTTTATAGTGGTTCAGGGCTAAGGGTTGTAAGTGGTTAGGGTTCATATAGGGGTTTTCAGACCGCGCCGGGACTTTGCTCCGTAAGTAAGTGTAACTGTTGCGTGAACCCCTATCCATACATTTCCTCCGACCATGCAGGCTAACATCGGTCACAACCGTAGTCAGATATGAACCCTAAACCCTAATTAAACGCCTAAACCCTATACCGCTAAACCCTAAGCCCACCTATAGAAGAAGCGCGGAGCCCTCCCTAATTAAAGTCTTCTTTGGAGTATCCGTTATAGTCTTCGTTTCTGGCTATAATTATAAGCTGTTTTGGCATCTGTTATGGTTAGGATCCTACAGAAACGGTCAGAAATCAAGCACTGCGATAGGGACGAAACAGGCCTTTCCCGGGCCCCTGAAAGGCATCTGATACGGTCGGGGAACTTAGTGACTAGTGGTTTTATAGATAAGTATCACAACCCCAATTACGATCCCTGCTAGGGTACTTATAAGTCTACTTATTACCTACTTACTAGTCTCCCGACCCTCCAAGTAAGCCCGAAACCTCAAACTTGAAGATCTTAGCTCGAAGCCGCAAAACCCCAAACCCTGAATCCCCAACCCACAACACTAAACCCCAAACTTAAACTTACACCGAAAGTCCTGTGTAAACCCTAAGCCCCAAACCCTCAAAATAAACCCTGAACCTATAAACCCTAGACCCAAACTCTAAACCCCAAATCCTAAACCCAAACTCTAAACCCCAAAGTCCAATTTCGACGTCTGGTGGGCCTGTCGCTCCTCATCAAGCTTCTCGGCTGCGAACTCCTCGGAGGAATTGGGAACTTCCGGGCAGTTCCGTGAATTTTGTGCATGTCCTGAGCCCTAAGCCCTATAAACCCTATAAGCCCTATAAGCCCCAAAGCCCTGAACCCTAAATTCGGTGGATGTTATGCATGTCTCCGGGCCTATGGAAGTTATCCCTCATCACCATAGAGGTACTACTTACAATCTCCTGTCTCGGTGGCGAAAGGATTCATCGGGTGCTCTAAAGAGCTTGAGTGTCGGGCTTCTGGTTTTGGAGCCCTAGTATATAAGCCGCTCAGACTGAGCAGCCTACACCTAAATCTTTGCAAGACTGCAAAGCTTAACAGCTAAGGGTGTAGGCTGCAAAAGAATGACCCTCCAGGGTGACAGTTCTTTTCTCCGAACTAGGGAAGATCAGGGAATATCTAGACTTCCGGTTGATACTGCTCACATCTCACGGAACGAATAACGTTGACAAATGGAAGGCTTCAAGGTTTAAGCTTTAGTGCCTTGTTGGTCAGAGGCCTGAGCATGGAGAAAGTAGCGGAACGATATCCAAAGAGTTACATCAAGAGCTCGTAAGAGGCCCCACAAAGCAGAGACATGCAGGTGAAGCCCCGATCCACCAGCCAACTAATTACCTTCAAAGAGTGCATAGAAAGCAAACTTAACCAGGCCTTCTACATATCCTAAAACTAACTTGCCGTGCATGATCTACCCCGCCAACCAACACACAGTGTAAGCCCCAGAAGCCCTGCGCAGGAAACATGAAATACATGACTAGCCAATTCTGCCTGCACTAAGCCCTACGCCCTGAATCGCTAGACACTCCATCCCTAAGCCTAAACCTGAACTCTAAACCTAAACATCCGAAACCGAAATTTTCGAATTAAAGACACCCGAAAAGCCCTACCTCCGCCCCAATAAAATCTACCTGTTTGAGGGCAGGCATCTCTACGCAAATCAGAATACAGAACCCTAAACCCGTAGCACGTTTAAGGTTATCACAACCTGAGTTCAGGAACTTCTACAAAATCGAAACCCAAACCCTAAACCCGCCACCAACAAAAAAGCACTTGGTGAGCCCCGAGCTCTGAGTTCGCGAAGCTGTCGGATGGTCTCCTCTAGTTGAGGTTTTTGGGATTTAGGGGTTTAGGGGTTAAGGCTTAAGGTTTCGGGGTGAAGGGCTTTGGGTCGTGCAAGCTTATGAGTTGTCGTTGTGTTGTGTGCAGGGTCTGATAGGAAGGATAGGAAGGCTCGGGAATTCGGGGATAAGGCATATTACCTAATATGCATTGAATGGACAAACTAAGGCGCTGTGTGGCCTTTACCATTAACCGTACACCCTATAATAAGAGTTAAGGGGCAATTCTGCTACGATGTTGTAGGCTTTACCCGAAAACCAGACCTTAAACTCTGAGAGCATGCTAGGGTTAGGTGTACTCAAACGGCCATAACCTACGACGCTGTGGGGCTGACCCTGCAGTCTAAACCAACCTAAACCCTATAATCATCAGGAATTTGAGTCTTACTTACGATACGATGTCGTAGGGTTTGGGGCTACAAATTGTGCTTCTTATCTCGGGGTCCGGAGCGTCTTAGGCTGAAGATCCACATGCAAGGCTTCAAGGTGTCATAACCAGGCTTTTTGAGATAGCCCTTCAGGACTGTCATTGACTCGCTGGCCATTGTGGCAGATCCTATACTGGTCAGGATGCTGGCGAGGGCTCTCAAACCTTAAAACTCGCCCCGACTGGAGCACCCAAGCCCTAAACCGTGAGCCCCAATGAAGCTTTCTCTCTGAACCAACTCCAAACTAAACCCGAAAGCATAAACCCTAAACCCTAACCCCTAAACCCTACACCCCAAAACCCTAAACCGAAACCCTATATATACCCTAAACCGCCCAAAAGGGCTCCAGTGAGATGCGTCCTCCGAAAAACGTAGCTGCGAAGCTTCGACCTCCTTCGATTAGATAGGGGGCCTTAACTAGCAGAAAAGGACTTCTATAGAAGGATTCTTTCAAAAAGGGTTCTACAAGGGGTACATAGGATCTTGACAAGTAGAAAAGTTTCTACAGAAGGAGTCTTTCAAAAGGGTTCTATGAGTTATGAGGGATACATAGGGTTGCTGTCATGGCCACCATGAAGATTCTGAAATGTGGGCTTGAATAATTAGAGTCGGGTTTGATGGCGGTAAAACACCGCAAATGCAGTAAGAAACCGCGATGCAAAATGTTAGTACGCGCCGGCTTCTTACACTATGCAGATGCAGTATTCAGTTGAGGATTCCAGTGATACGGAATTACAGTCTCGGATTTCGTGGCCATGGGTTCAGGGCGCCGAACTTAGGGTTTTAGGGTGTGGGGTTGCATTCTATGGACTGTCTGCAATATGAGGCCAAGTGAAACCTTGATACTACCCTTATAACAAGGATGTCATCTCAGCACAGGCTTATACGCGAGAAGACACGCGTGTCGCAGGGATTGCAGTGCAGAAAGCCTCTTGGCCGGGTTGCTGGGGTCAGCTCACTACTCAAGCCTTCTTCTAAACCCAAGAGTAACCTAGGAACAAAAAGGGTGCCCTTTTTGGTTTAAAGGGGCTTATAAGGGAACCTGAACCCCTGAAAAAGGGAATAAGGGCCTACTCTAGGTCCTAGTCTTCCGGTGCCCAAACTCTGACAGCCAGCGAACCCAAAGCCCTGAGCAAACGCCAACCCTGTCTGTACTGAAGGGGCCTCAATAATTAGAAGTGGCTTTTGGGCCCACTATACTATACTTGTAACAACTGGGAGTAGAACAGAGTTTCAGATTCTGGCCCTACAGCAGCAGGGTTTTGCCCTCACCAAACCCTCATCCCTGATCCGTAAATACTTCAACCCCAAGCCTTAAAATAATCATTATGGGCTTCTTCCTTAAACCCTAAACGGCCCTAAACCCTAACCCTAACCCTAAACCCTAAACCCAAACCCCTAAACCCTAACCTTACAAGAAACGGACTCCTTCCTTAAAGCTTCAAAGCCCTTCGAAAGGTGCGTGCCTTCAACTCTCGGGCGAGGTCTTCCTGCCACCTGTTGGACAGGGTCCGGCCCCCTTTGGGATCTTAGGGCTTCAGGGTTTTAGGGTTTGGAGCTTTAGGTTATTAGGGCTTTAAGGTTTTAGGGTTTAGGGTTTCAGGGTTTAGGGTCGCAGGGCTTGGAGTTTTAGGGTTTAGGGTTTCAGGGTCTGGGTTTCAGGGTTTGGAGTTTTAGGGTTTAGGGTTTCAAGGCTTAGGGTTTAGAGCTTTAGGGTATGGGGAGCCTTCACCAAAGAGGATCCCCTGATGAAGAGCTTAGTGCGCTTCTCCACATCGCTGAATCCAGCTGGCTAGATTCGAGTGTGTCATGTTAAAGGGATTTGTGTCGGATTTACGAAGCTAGTTTACGAGGCCTCATGTTTATTCTCCAACCTTACGCCGCGCTGTTGTTCTCTTGCTGGTTCCGGACCTAATGGGATAGATTCCTAGCTTCTCGAAGTCTTGCCTTCTCCCTCCTTAAGATTTTCAACCTGCTTCGGATTCAAGGGACTTGGGAGATGTTCAGAGACAACTTAGACCCGAAACTTCCTAAAACCTAAACCCCTAAACTTCCTAAACCATAAACTCGAGACTTCAGGGACAACTTAGACCCTAAGCCTTGAGAGACTTCAGAGAACTTCTTTTTCGGGCACACTGATGACGAGGATGCCTTTGGCAGGGGCTCGGAAGTCTGAACATGCAGTTCACAACGGTTGGGGTGGTTTGGCATATTGAAGGTCTTGTGCACTTCCAGGGTTTAAAATGATGCCGTGACAGCCGGGCCACTCTGAAGCTGGCGGAGCTCCTCCGCTTTCTGCTTGGTGCCCACGATGTTCGTGTCGATGATATCCTGGATGTCCTTCGCCGCTTTGCTGCGCTCCTTCTGCAGATCCTGCGGTTTTCCAAGGCTTAATTACAGTAGCTAAAATGCCGGGCACAACGGCTCCGTGGCACTTCAGCTTTCTGGCAAAGCCTTCACCCCACCAGGACTCCGGATCGCAGGGAACTTGTGCCCCACATAGTATACACTTGAGCCCGAGATTAAAACACATAATATAGCTTAGGGCTTAAGGGTTCAGGGTTTAGGGATAATATAGGGACTACTTTAAGGAAAGTATAGATTAGTATAGACTCTATACAAGCACACGAACCCTTAGAGCTGGGAGCGACTCCTTTGGAGCATCAGGGTCAATCCTAAGCCCGAAGCACCTCCAAGTGCCAAACCCTAACCCTGAACACTACTTACGGTTTCGGGTTTAGGGTTTCATTCTACCTACCCAACCCCATACCGACATCTCTACATCCCAAAGCCCCAATCATTGCAATGCCCTTTTGTACAGCAGCCCTGATGAAGCCCCTTATACATCCCCACAAAGCCCCATAGAACCCATAAGCCCCTATAAGACCCGAAGTATACACCCCTTAGCAGACCCCATCGGATAACTATCATAAATCTCGATAGAAACCCGTCCAAAATCTTTCGAACCCTTCTAAGCCCTCTGGAGCCCCTTGTAAAAGCCCAGAAACAGGCACAGCCTTTGGTCCGCGCTGCGGACGAGCATCTCCAGACGCTCAACGGCACTAAGCAAGGAGCCGCGCTGTTCTGCACGAGAGGGCTTAGGACTCACAGTAGAAGCCAAAAAGTTGGAAACCCGATAGCCTCAATCCTTAAGAGTAAAGTATAGGGAATCCCAGCACGATTTGTCCTTAACTAGGTTTCCAACTTTTTGGAGTTTACAATACGCTTTGGGGCATAGGTTTTTACGGGCTGTAGGTATAAGAGGATGGGGGTATTTCGGACTTTGGGCCTATAGGACCTCTGATTATCTTTCTCATGGTTCTTTCCAACAGGGTGATCAGGGTTCGTGTTGTGTCAACGGTTTCTGGGGTTCTATCCCGGCTTTTCTTGTACAGGTTTAGGATTTGGGTTTAACATTCAGGGTTTTCAAGGTTTAGGGCTTTGGGTTGAAGGGCCCTTGTGTGACGTCTTTTGTGCCCACCACGCTAAGGAAGTGTTTCGGGCTGTTTTGGGCCGCCTAAAGGTTCTGAGCTTAGGGTTGAGGAGTCACGCTCGAGGCTTCAGGGTTGATGAACTGCATGATCCAGAAGTCCGGTAACCCCGCAACCCCAACTCGGAGACCTTAATGCGATGTAAACCCCATACCCACATGCATTAAGCCTTGAAGCCCTAAGGAGAATGCGCGGTCCCCAAAAACTCTGAAGAACAAGCCGTCGCCTCAAATCCTCAGACAATCGGCGCCCCAAACTTCCTGGGCTCCTCGACCTTAAACCCGAAGCCCCTTTGGCAATATAGTAGTGTCCGACTGAGAAGGCTCGTAAGGATTGCCTTAGAGTAAGAGCCCACCCCCCTAAACCCCAAACCGCACAAAACAAACAAATAACAACAACACGTGTCTAGGTCGAGACTACTCGAGTGCCGTGTCGTGCCTTCGAGCGCTGCGGACAATTTGGAGGTCACGGCCTGCTTGGCGGGTTGTGGCTTAAGGTTTATTTTTTAACTTTGGGTTTAGAGGTTTAGGGTTTCGAGGTTTGAGGGTTTGAGGGAATGATTTCCCAGAGACTCCACATATACTACTCTGTGGAATTAGGTCCCAAAAGACTATCCTTCTTACCGCTTCGGGGACCTAACTAGTAAAAATGGAGCCTCTGGGGTTTAAAGATTCTTTCAAGGGACTAAAGGTTAGCCTTTATGAGATCATGTAGGGGTTCTAGTAACCACTCGGCCGCCCTCCAAAGGCGAAAGGTTGCTTGCAGAGTCGGGGGACGTAGCAAGCCGGCAATAAGCAGATTTACAACTATCCGAAGCGGGATTCTATAGATTCATGACCTAAACCCTAAACCCTAAACCCCTAAACCCTAAACCCTAAAGATACTTACTACTTACTAAGTAAGTGCATCTAAGGGAGGTCTTCGAGCAGCCCACATGACACTAGCTTTTCAGGTTTCTGGTACTTGGAGGATCATGGGACTTAGTAAGTAGGGTTATAAGTACCCTAATTGGGGTTATAAGTAGTTATAAGTATAGTTACCCTAAATATAACCCTAGTTGCTAAGTCCCATGACCCTTTAAGTAGTAGCCTCCGATTTCTACGAGGTTTATACAGGATGTTGAGGCTTCGGTACGGTGTACAATGGTTCAGCTGGATGAACGAGGGTTCAGCACACGGTACCCCTTAACTACCGAGTGTAACTTCAGCTGAGCAGGCTTCTTATGAGGTTCACAATTTAAAAGCATCCCTCAATCGAAAGGCCATGGGCTATCTGGGTATATATAAAGCAGTGCTTTTTCCATCGGTTGTGCTGATGGCTATTAGCGGTTTTACGTTCCGCCAGCAAGGCTTGCTTTCAATGACGTGAGGTTCTGTGGCTTATAGGGTTCTGTGGATGTTGAAAGTCTTCAGGTACCCCCCCAACAAAATTGTGTTCAGTGGGGTACAGGCAGATGAGCCGTTCCATGGGGTCTCTGATGGGAGGGCAAAAGGGAGGTTTAAGATTCTTGGGGTGGGGATTCCTTAATATGAACCCTATTATGGGAACCCTAATCCCTTCTAAACCCCCATAGGCCAAAACCCTTCTGGCCTCCTATGAGTCTCCAATGTGAGGTAACCTCTTGTTTGCCAATAGCCAGGGCAGGTAAGTTGAAGCGTGTTCCCACACAGCAAACTGTCTCAATATTTGCACCCTATGGAACAAAGGCTATAACCCCAAAGCGGTAGGGCAGAGCCTAAACCCTTTAAGCATATATAAACCCTAAACTGCCAACCCTAGGCATTTCGTGGGGCCCAGCCACGCACTGCGAAGAACCGCAAAGGCAAAACCCGAATCCCACGACCCAAAAAGCCTGGAATAGCAGCTATTCTATGTATAGGCACTTCGGTTGATGATATAAATCCTGCATGACCTTAAGGACCCTAAACTATGGGAACTATGGTATATTCCTTATTATGGGTCATGCAGGATATATATCATCAACCGTGGGCTTCTAGCAATTCCTGTCTCTACACTAGTCCCGCCGCAGACTACAAATCTTCAGAGTTGGTAAGTTCAAGTAGGGTGTCGGGTCCCAAGGAAAATGTGCTCTGAATGGTGTTTGGCACCTGGGTAGTTGTCAAAGTTAAGGTCCCTTTTTGGGTACCCTAAATAATAGGTGCCGTACTATTCTAGGGACCCAGAAAACGACCATAATTTGGACAACCACCTACCTATCTGAAACTCCACTAGTAGGGAGCTTGGACACTGTGGGAAAGGTAGCCTTTACACTCGGAGCTCAACTCTGACGGTGTGACTACTGTAAGGGCCTTCATACCGTAGAATAGCGTCTGGGGCCATATTATGTTACAGTTACAGTAAGAGACACCCCAACATAGTAGAGGTAATTCTCAAGGCGGCTATGCAACCTAAACCTAAACCCTTAACCCTAAACCCTACCCTAAGGCTCCTGGACCTTCGTAGTCAGATCCCAAACCTTAGCCCCCAAAGCCCGAACCCATCCCCCAGAAAGCCCATGACCCCTTTCGGAGCCTTAGGGCCTAGACCCTAACCCCCAAACCCCTAAACCCCTAAACCCTAAACCCCTAAACCCTAAACCCTAAACCCCTAAACCCTAAACCCCTAAACCCTAAACCCTTTAAACCGTTAAACTCCCCAAATCAGGTCTCAGGGCGATCCTCGCGCATGTGGCACTCTGACGCGAGCTGCTCCTGTGGCTCGGTTTGCTCTGAAAAACGCACAGACTTCCAAAACCCCTTAATTAAGGAATATACCTTAAATTAGAGATCCTACTCTAGTTTAAGGAATATTCCTTAAGTAAGGGGTTTTGGAAGCTCTGAGAACTCCTTCTGTAAGGGTCCATGCGCGCAAAAGAATTCCTTTCAGGGGCTCCTTCAAGGGCTTTACAAGGGAACAGAAAGGGTTTAGGATTTAGGCATTAAGAGTCCTTTAAGAATCCATATGTACCCAAATACTACACACGCTCCAAGTACCTATATGGCGACTACTTCAGGGCTAACGTACATACTAGTTGGGACATGGATCCTCAGGTGTTGTGCAGGAGCCTCTTCTTAAAGGTTTCTGTACTGTGGCCTGCGTTGGTGAATGCTGTAGCACAACCCAAACCCTAAATGCAAGTCAGGGAGAGACGACAATAAAGTTCATGCGCTGCGACCGGGCTCGATCATCCACTATGCAACTCCGTATGGGCCCCACCGGCAGATGTTTCCTGTTCAGTGTCACACTGGTTTTGGGTCAAGACTCGTGCTCACAAGCCCTCCTCGAAGATTTGCAGCTTGAGGCGAAATAGCGAGGAACATTTTTGTGGCTTCCATGGGGTTGATGACCTGCACGGCTCTGGTGTCTTGGTCCATCTGGGCCACTTGAAACGACAGCAGCCCATTACGGGTTGTCCGCTGAGCATCGAAGAGCTTGCGAAATGGGGCGGCTGCAAATGCCAACACTCTCAACTGGCTGAGTTGCAGGAGCTTGTCGTAGTCCCAAATGGCCAACGCTTCTGACTACGTTCCCTGAACAATCAAGAATACGGCTGACCCGGAAGCCTCGCTGTCACGGAACCCTGCTTCTTCTGACTCCTCCCCGGCGGGACCTTGATCTTTCCTGAGTTTCGGACTTGCCGACAAAGCAAGTGCAGTTCCCAGGGGTTGCTGGAAAATGTCCAAGACTCCAAGGGTAAAAGGAGGGACCCCTAATAAGGACCCCTAGGTATATACCCTTAATAAGGCTATTATATACCCATTATGATAGCCCACTATAGGGCAGGGGTCCCCCTTAAGGGTCCCTCCTTTTCCCCTTTGAAAGACTTGTTCACACTCACGCTTAAGCCGAGAACCCAGATCCGGAACTCGTACCGTCTCGAGCTTTTCAGAGGGCGCTGATATGTACTTCTGAGTACCTCAATGAGCCCTCTACCTAAAGTAAAAGCCAGAAAGTTGGAATATGATTATCCGATTATCCTAAACCCTTTATGGTAAATTATGAGGTATCCTACCCTGAAACCATATTCCAACTTTCTGGCTTCTACTCTAATACTAAACACAAAGGACCCAAAGCTCTTAACAAAAGCCCGAAGCGCACAGGCCCTCCACCAACCCCAAACCCTGAACCCTACCTATAGTCTCCATTGTATTTCTTTTTTTGGTTATCCAGTTTTATGGTTAGGATCCCATAATAATAGAGACTTTGGTTAACACAAAAAGGAACTACAGTGGAGACTACAGGTAAACCCCCAACCCTAAACCCTTAGCCCTCAACCCCAAATCCTAACCCCTTAACCCCCAAACCCTAAACCCTCAACCCTAAACCCCAAATCCTAACACCCCTTAACCCCCAAACCCTAAGCTCGCATCTCTTCCCCTTGAAGCTCCGTAAACTGCTTCTTGGCGGTCTCCAGGGCCTGCCTGTGTCCAGAAAACTCCAAAATCCCGTAGGGTTTAAGTGCTTCTTTAAAAAATTAGGGTTTAGGGTTTAGGGTCTAGTATGAGTTAAGGTATATCATATTCATCAATGAAGGAAGGTTCCTGAAATTACAAGTGGGGAACCGGATATGATTTCAGGTATAGTCCTTAATTTAGGGGTTTTCGATACAACTCCTGGCTTCATTTAACTAAGATCCCTTAAATTACAAACGGGAACTATCCTCCGAAACGCGTTCATTAAGGACTATCCCATAATTCATACACAATCGGAGCCCTTGAATGATTTATTGCATACTATATTCATTAAGGAACATCCATTAGATTGGAACTGGAACCCTCATATAATTTAAGGTATATTCCTTAACTAAGGAGTTTGCGATTTCTGGGTGGGGCTTTCCATAAATCTTAAGCAGATTGGGGTGTAGGGTATTAGGGGTTTGGGTATGCTAAGTCCAATTTGGGCTTCTCCGGTTGCTGGGGGTTTACTTTATCTCGAGCTTGCGACAGCCGTACTTCTAAGGGCCTTGCGTGGAGTTTTCACGGTTGGGGTCTAGTTTCAATGAACTCGCTTGAAGACCTGGAACAGCCTGTCCTGCTCTCAAACCGGCTATGGAGGTACAGTCTTGAAGAGCACTGAGGCTCCTGAATGACCTACGCGGCTTTGGCTTTAGCAAGCAACATTTAAAATAAGGGACATAGTTTGACAAATCATCGCGTCTCGCAGCAGGGTTTGGAACGCCACGCTCCCCGCCGAGAGCTCCAGGCAGAGCTCCGCGACCGAGAAGGCGACCCCCAGTGCCACGGGGGTGGGTCAGAGGCTGGGATCTCGGATCTGCGGCCGCCCTGATGTCCGCATACTCTTGGTCAGTATATGCCGTACCTTAGATGCGCAGAATGATGCCCTGGAATTCGCACTGCCTCTCGCTCCTCCCCCGTAACCGCACTTTGCTGTTCTTCCCTCTTCTTTTTGCTAGGTGACCCACCAAGCGAGAACATTCTCAACTTGCTCTTGCCTCAGCACCCGGTCTGCTGTTGTGGCATCCAAACTCGAAGCCCCGTAAGTCCAAGCCTATAAACCTACAAATCCTCAAGGGCTTCTGGGTCTCACTTCTGAAGGTTTCGGGTTGGGAGGCTTGCCCTAAGGGTTGGGATGTGGAGGGCTCTTCGGAAAGGTTGCTAGGGCCATGATTTTAGTCGAGTTATGCAAAGCTCCAAGCCCACAAAAGAGCACCCTTGCGATCACCCAGGGGTGTTGTACGGCTCTTTATGAGCTCGGGAGGTTCGGGTATGAAGGTCTGCGGCGTCAATGTACAACTGCACAACTGGTTTGTTGTGCTTACACTCCTAGCTTCTGAGGCTGGCATGCATACAACAAAGACCCACACCGCGCCAAGAGCTCTGCAGCCAACCATTGCAAAGCCCTAAACCCTAAACCCTAAACCCGAAGACCGACCCACACAATCCCAAACCATCAGCTCCGGGCCCCCTATCCCTAAATACCTAAACCCTCTAACCAAACCCTAAACCCGAAACGCCTAAACCCATATAAGTTCAGCAAGCCTAGAGGCAAAACTGTACGTGCAGAATCCGATAGAGCCTGGCACGACCTGCCTTAAAACCAATGGCCGCAGACCCGAAATGCTAAAACCTGCTGAACCCTGAGCTTTAGTTTCGGGTTTAGGCGTGTAGGGTTTAGGGTTTAAGGTTTAGGGTTTACTGCTTAGAGCCGTAGAAACCCAGTTGCCTGCATGTAAGTTGCTGGGCTATGGATACTATGAGGTTTGCATGGGGGATTAAGGAACGGCAACTCGCGACTGCCCAGATACAATTAAGCAACAATTGAATCATAGCCACTGTTACACCACATTATTGCAAGCCGCAAACCCTATATCATAACCCAAAGGGTCCATGCACTCAAATAGTATATACTTTGGCCTCAAAGTACTCCCTATATAGGTACTTTGGGGCCAATGTATATACTACGTGGGCACATGGACCCTTAGGGTAAGGTAACCGAGTTTCTTGGTTTCTCAACTGCTGGAGCCTTGCGATTTCTGCCTGCTCAGCCACAGAGCTCTTCATCTTGGACCTCAGTGTGGGCCATGTTGGGTTTTAGGGTTTAGGGTTTTTTTTATGAAATCGTATGGGTTCTACCAGGGTTTTAGGGTTTAGGGTTTTATGAAGTCTTGTGGTTCTACCAGGGCTTTACAAAGTTCTCCATAGTTTTGTCTGGAAACGTATGGCTGCGACAGGTGCTGCAATTTTAGGGCTTCGGCTTGGGGCTTTCCAGGATGCTCCGAGCTACCTATTTTTAACTCATAGAGTTCTCATGAGCCATTAAATGGGCTTTGCCCAGACCCCCGGGAGGAAATAGAAAGTAGATCCCCTAATTTGGGGCTCTATACCACTAAGGGTACTTTATTGGAACCCCCATTAAGGGATCTACATTTTGGATCCTCCCGGGGTCTGGGTAGAAGGTTTACGAGGTTTAGTGAACAAGGAAGAACTAAGGGACGTGGCTTGTGGGATCTAGGGCACTAAGCTCATAGGGATCCTTAGGGGTGTAGGGGGGAGGGGTGTAGGGGACTATATTTCCTTAAATAGGCCTTATTAGTCCTTATTATGGGCCTTAAGGCCCCCTACCCCCCCTCCCCCTACACCCCTAAGGATCCCTATGATAAGCTCTGGGGCTAAGCCCCAAGTCCGAAACACAAGCCTAAATCCGCACGACCCCGAACCTTCAACGCTACCTTGAACGCTACATTCGGACCTGGCGAACATCGCCCCTACTGCAGCGGCCCCAAACCCTGCAATCTAAGAATAAGACCCCGATCTCGAAGTCTTTGATGCTGAAACCACATTGAAATACACCAACCACCTCCTACGATCCGGAAAAACAGCAATACACCAAAGCTTAATGCGCGGGGTCTGCTACAAGCCCGAGTTGTTGCACTAAATCAGCCTACGAGTTAGGGCTTCGAACTGAATCTAGGGGCCTTACTGATTAGAATAGGGTTTTGGGGTAATTATATGCTACAATTATCATAAGGAAACCGCAAAAAATAGTATAGTATCAAGAATCACGAAGCCTGAGCCATGAACCCCAAAGGACCCACTAAAAACTCGGGCGCAGAGCCCACAACAAGCATACAACCAGAGGAGCCCTCCTAAGCCCTGGAACTTCAACCCTAACCAAACTTCGTAGTCTAACCCTAAACCCAACATAACCCTTGTTCAAGACTACTATTTGCTTAAGAACCCCCAAAAAATAAAAAAAATATTCCTTATAGGGATAATATAGGGATTATATTTTTGTATTTTTTGGGGGGTTCTTAAGCAAATAGTAGAAGAGCCGGGGTTCAAACACCGGGAACCCGACTTCATAGTCTTAAGGACCTGGTCCACCTCTTCGGCCAAGCTTTGTCGTGTGGAGACCTCTCTGGCTTTAGGGGGTAAGGCAAAAGCCAGAAAGTTGGAATATGATTATCCTAACCCTTCTATGGTAAAGTATAGGGTATCCTACCATGAAACCATATTCCAACTTTCTGGAGTTCCCTGTAAGGTGCAGGGTTTAGGGGTTTAGAAGGTGGGGTTATGAGGGCTTAGAGGGCTTCCTTAAGGCTTTATGGAGTATATCGTGGCTCGCAACCTTGAGGATCGAAGGGATACCGCTGGGCTTCGAGACAAGCCTACGAAAGCATGATTCATGATTCGGGCTTACGGTTTCAGAGGTCCTGCAGAGTCTTGAGGGCTCCCCCCCCCCAGCCTCAGGGACATAAAACTCATAAAAGTCTGGCGGAGGGCATGCAGGGTGTGCACCGGCTGTTCAAGCTAAGCAGGTCTTGGCTTCGTGGTAAAGGCCGAAAACCGTAGGCCTCCAAAACGATACCGGCGACTTGCTGAAAGAGGCTTCAATGTAAGCTGGCCATGGATGAGCATTAAGCCCTCAACTTCCTAAACCCTGAACCTCGTCGGGCCAAACCCTAAGAATTTCCACATCCCGGCAAAACAACAATGGCAACAACACCCTCAGCAGCGACTTAGTCTATCTACTAATTACTACTACCACCACCACCACTACCACCTACTACTCCTCCTCTCCTCCTGCTCATCCTTGTGCTAGAGGCATCGAGACTGAGATTTGGCAGAAAACAGAAAAGAACAGCAATGCTGGCAACAAGTGTATTGTTGCGCATCCACTCCGTCCGCACCCCCACCAGGTGGTGCTCGCAGACCACTAGCAAACATATCACCCCAAATCCGAAAATCATAAACCCTACACTTTGACTGTGCAACGTGGCCTCCGTCTCCAAGGAGCTACTCAAATCCTCCCATTTCTCTTCGTGGCTTTGGTTGAGGGTTTACGGACTAGGGGCTTTGACAAAAGCAAATTGTCGCGACGGTGTATCGGGATCGGATACGGACTACTTGGAGCTTGTGGCTTTGCAAAGTTGCGAATTAGAAGGGTGGATGACTTTGCTTCTGAGCATTCATAGGTCTCAGGTTGTTTGGTTTCGGCATTTGGGGTGCATGAGTTACAGGGGAAAGAAGACTCACATCCTCTAACACCCATGAAGACTCCCCCTTTAGCACCCACGGAGACCTTCCAAAGCAAAAACAAACGTTCCAAAGCCTCAAAAAACAGAGTGCTTCAAGCCCTGCTCGACAAAATCGACCTTTCAAAAACCTCGAACCCTAAACCCTGAACCTTAAGCCCTTACCTCAAGCATCACTGTCCTTCCTTTAAGGCCGAGGTGTATACCAGATAGGTACATATAGCATAAAAACTTACTACCCCAAATAAAACACAGAAAAAGAAGTTCAACTTTCTGATTCCTGCTAAACTATAAGAACCCAACAAGTTCAGAGGTTAGACATTGGGGATCTAAGAAAAGCAGAGGGTGAGTCCTTCAAGTTCTTCTCCAACTTGGCATCTGCAGCCTCGTTTTCTGGACTTTGCAGTAACCAGGGAGAAAAAGTATAAACTTGATTCCGCAATGGTTCCTTTAAGAGAAAAAATATTTTTGAGTATGGTACTCCAAAGCCCAGTCGTTTTGGCATCCGAGCCTGGAGGTCCCCAGCCGGCGAAGGCTCTGAAAACGACTTTCAGGTGCCCAAAGAAGCGGCATCTTAAAGTTCAGGGGTTTAGGGGTGTAGCGCTTTAGGGGTGTAGGGGTGTAGACCCCTAGGGGTTTAGGGGTTTAGGGGTTTGGGGGTTTAGGGTTTAGGGGTTTCTGGGTCTGGGGTGCAGGGTTTTAGTCGGCTTCGACCAGGGCCGTATCGGCTACTCTGGGACGTTCTAGCGGCCGGATTTGTTCAGAACAGTGGCTATAATCGGCTACCGGTACATAATGTACATATCTTTCATCTCCGAAACTGCTAATTAACTACCCTAATGCTCCTGGACCCTCGTAGCGAGATCCCAAACCCTAGCCCCCAAAGCCGAAACCCTCCCCCAGAAAGCCCAAGACCCCCACACGAGCTTTAGGGTAGGATTTAACTAGGTCGCATGGTTAGGTTCTCGAGGGTTTTGGTCTTGAGGCTGATTGGCTTCGCGTCTTAAAGCTTTTAGATGTTAGTGTCGGGGGCTTTTGAAGTGTGAGGAGTAGGACGCTCAGGATGTGATAGGGTTGAGCCTTAAGACGGAGGTCGCAGCAGTTCAGGTTGCTAATAGGTCCTACATACATAACCTCACACACATACACACATGCACACACACACACACACAATCATAGCATACATACATACACGTGACTCCGCGTGGTACGCCAGCGGATTCCAGCCGCGAAGGTCCGCGAACATCTGGAGGTGTGCACCCCCAAGACCATCCTTGCAGTCAGCAAGCCCAAAGGCTCCATGTAGCCATACAATATATACTTATACCCTAAAGTACCCACATAGGAACCCCTTTAAGGCCTAAGTATATACTATATGGGTCCATGGAGCCTTAGGGCAAGCTGCTCGTAAGGCCTGCTGCCATTGGCAGCTGTTCGCTCGTCTGGCACGGCCAGGCACGTCGCCTTCTTCATGAGCCGCTTCAGCCGCGCAACGGTTGATGGTATATATCCTGCATTACCTTAAGTGTTGCTGTAGGGCCCAATCCCTACTTTTGGCAGGTGCACAAATCGAGAAGTGTACCGCAGGTGCACAAATCGAGAAGTGTACCACATCTTGTCTGGCAGGTGCATGACCCCTGCTAAGGATGACACGCACAAATCCGAATGGCTCAAGCACGAGCCCTATGAAGGGCGCAGCGAGGTGGGTGCGAAAAGCACCTTGGGGCATTGGGGTTTGGGTTGCTTGTTTGAGGGTCCTTGTAGTGCCTTGCTATCTTGCATGCTACTCGATGTACTATGGAGAAGTATGATCATCTAGATGACTTACCTATGCAGATTAGAAGGCATCATGCAAGTCCTACTCCTAGTCACTATTCTATTGTTACGAACAGCCCTTCCCCTGAACCAAACACCAGAAATCAACAGGTTATGAGTCCAAACCCTCTCGAAACTACGCATGACACTGCATCATCAACAACAGCATCTGCACCAGCCACTTTGCAAGCAGCGGCAGAACAGCAGCAGCTTGGAGGGCAGGTGACGCTTCAACAGATGACTCGCATTAGCATACCTGCTGAAACGCTGCGAGCCTTTGGAACGAGTATTGGTGAGGATTTGAGTTTTGCGGCTGACATCCAGGCCGCGGTCATAGAGCTTTCTTCTCGCATCCAGTACCGTACTGAAGTTCTCGCTGGGGCAGTGGGAGCGGTTGGGGGATCAGTTGGAGAGTTGCAAGCAGGCTGTCAAGTGCTAACTGCTAGCCTGGATCAGCTTCGGGACGCGGTGGTTAGACAACAAGCTGCAGTGCAATCCCTGGTGGAAGGCCGGGAGAGTGATCGTCGTGATGCGCGCACACAAATCGAGGCGATCAAACATGACCTTAGGAGCTACCTAGAAGAACGAGGTGCAGAGGAGCAGCAGGTCAAGAACAAGCTAGACGAATCCTTGCAGAGAGAGGCGAGCTTGCTGGCGAAGGTAGAAGCCCTATCTGGTAGAGTTGCTGAGCTGGATGAGTCTGTGAAATACACTCTGATGAGCATGCAAGAGCATAAGCGCAGATTGGATGCCCAAGAGCGTGAGATTTATGCACCTTTGAAGGGTGAACCCGGGGATCAAGCTTCACTGGCACGAGCGGTGCAAGTCTTGGCTGAAAAGGTCGATCGGGAGCTTGCTGTGTTGACTACGCAGCAGCGTGAACAAGGTGAGGGCCTACACAACAGTTTGGAGCAATTTCGAGCTGATGTGTTACCCAAGGTCCAGACCGAAATAGACAGGCTTGATGAGAGAGTGAGCGCTATCGAGGAAGGCCCTGACAAGTTGGAGGAAGCTCAGCTAGGGGGTACAACTTCGAAGGACTTTCATCGGGATACACAGTCACCTCAATTGCATCCGATGCCCGCACAGAACGATCGCGAGCCAGTGCATTTTGAGCTGACGCCCAACGCTGATCAGGCACCTAGCTTTGGGGTTCAAGATGCCTCTTCCGCTTGGTGGGATCAGACTGGAGAAGAGCCAGAGCTTTGGAGCACGTGGGAACGTGGAAGAACAGAGGTTGATCCTCTCAATCCATGGGGTCTCACTGCTCCTCCACCTGGTCTAGGATCCAGGAGGAGAACATCCTCAGGAAGGTCACCGAGTCCTGGCGCAAGGCCTGGAAATCGGAAGTCGGCACCCGAGATTCCGAACGGAAAGTGGAAATGTTTGACGGATCTTCCAAAGTATCATCAAGAACCAGGGGAACCCTGGGAGCTGGGATTGGGTTTCACAACATGGAAACGACAAATCCTGGCGGTTTGCACGACGGTTGCACCGGAGTTTGCAACCTTCGTTGAGGATCGATTTCACTTGGCACACCAGAGACATGAGAGCCGGATGTCTGGAGCTCCTATTGCTGAGGCCCCAAAGCTTGAAGCATGCTTTGAGACATATGAGGCTCGATTGGTGGTTAGCTTGATGCGGATTCTTCCAGCAGAGGTCAAAGACAGCGCAGTTGAAGATGCAGAGAACAAGATTACATCACTGTCATTGTTAGAGGAGTTGGTGCATCAAGTTCAACCTGGAGGCCAAGAAGAAGTTGCAAGTTTGTTGCGATACATGCGCAACCTTGACCCAGCCCAATCAGCTAGAGATGCTTTGGAGAGTATCCGTAGGTGGAAGCTAGCCAGATTGCGCGCAGCAGCTTTGAATCTTCCCAGCACAGCCCCGTCTGAAGCGATGAGAGCTCTATGTACACTAGTAAAGCACATTGAGAAGCGAAGCGATTCATTACGTACCAGGATGAGTCTCATCAAGCTGTCTCCGGACATCCAGCGTCCCACGGAACTAGGAGTTCAGATGATCCTCGAAACGTTGGATAAGGAATTGCGTCAGCTTGCAGCTGACGAACAGCTGAAGGCAAACAAGAATGAGCAACAGTCTTCGGTGTTAGCCAAGGGCAAAGGAAAGGACAAAGGAGGCAAAGGAAAGGACAAAGGAGGCAAGGGAAAGGACAAAGGAAAGAGCAGCGCAAATCAGGGCAAAGGAGCAGGAGAATCGCAACCCAAGGAGTCAAACATTGATGCAAGGAAGGACAAGCCTTGCAAGTGGTTTTGGGGTGAAGCAGGATGCTATCGGAAAAACTGTCCTTTCTCCCACGACGAGAAACATAAGCCTAAGCCCAAGGCTGCAGCAGCACCTAATGCCACAGCATTGGTTGGAGCAAATGATGATGAAGGACAAAAGGGTAAACCCAAGGCTAAACCAAAGGCCAAGGCCAAGGCGTCAGCAGTGACTTCCATGATCATGATGGCACAAAGCAATCCGGTGAGTGATTTCAGTTCTTCTTCTAGCGATGAGGACAGCTCAGACTTGGAGGCACTGTCAAATGCCGGGACGGTTGCTTCGACTGATAGCACTCAGAGTCTTTTGTCAAGTGAGCATGATCTAGGTGATGAGCTTGCGGATGCTATGCGGGACGCAAGGTTGCACCGAGCAGAGCGGGATCAGCTTTGGCGTTTGCACTTGAATCCTAGGGAGTTCAACACATGGGCTCAGCACTGGGCGCGCGGAGATTGCTCATTGGAGAAGCGCAGAGTATCGCAGTTGCTTATGACATTTTGCTGATGTGTGATGATGATGTTGCCAGAAAGGGTTTTGTGGCCTGGCTCGTTGATGAAGATGATCATAATGAGCTTTTCTTGGCTATCGTTGAGGCCCTTCAGCCTCCACGCGTCAGGACCACAGGACCTAGCGTAGCATCAACTTCATCTGTTGGAGCCCCTCAGTTTCAGCGTACAGCGCAAGGCCATCATGACACATTGGTTGAAGCAGTTGCCGCCGACATCACACATGTGTTGCGCATGCCCTTGCAGCAACTGCTAAGCCTTGTGGATTTCTCTGAGGGTTGGATCATGTTTGACACGTATGGGGTAGAGATTCTGCATGACTTGATGTATCTCCATGTAGAAGAGTTCGCCACAGTCCCCGAGCCAGCCAGACGACGGCTCCTCCATCTGCGAGCAAGAATCCTTGAGTTCGAACATAGGTCACAAGCGCGAAAGGTGTGTGCTGTTGGTAATCTGGGTGACGGGTCTAATGTTCTTTTGGATACTGGTGCAAACGAGGTCCTCCGAAAGGCTGCTAAGGCTCCACCTAGATCCATGCCCCTGGAGTTGTTGTTAGCCGACAGTCAGACCATTGAGGCCTCGAGAACCAGGGATGGTGAAGTGATCATTCCAGGAACGGGTCCCGAGGTCATTGCGGGAGTGTGTAGGCTGACAGCTGTTGGATGCAAGTTCGTGTGGAGTGACGAAGGTGCTTGGTTGCAGCTGCCGAAGGATTCTGCTTTCATAGGTGAGTGGGTTCAATTGGAAATTCACGGTGGTTTGCCTTACCTCGACAGGGGTA